TTTCAGAAACTTCATTAAAAAGTTTATCAAAGTAACTCACCCACCTATGTTGAATATCTTTTTCTAAGAAAAGTACTTTTTGATTTTCATCTTTAATACACTTTACTTGAGTTAAATCTTTACTTTTCTTTTCTCTTAGTTTGGCTAGTTTATACACATGTTTTTCACCCTCCTTAGTATCTAATATATTATAAAGATCATTAAAAGCAGAAATTTTAGCGTCACAGATTGTTATTTTAGACTCCCTGTGGGTCGTTTGATATTTTTCCCAGTTCTCTAAGCTTTTACATTTAAACCAATTTTTATAACATAACTTCTTATATTTTATTTTTTCTTGCACATTATTATTCCACCACCAACTATTTTTATTTGTAAATTTTTTTTTTATTCTCCAAGCGCAACTTTTGCTACTTGTTTAATAGTGTTTGTTACCTTATCCCACATAACATTTGCTTCTTCAAGAATAAATCTTGAAGATTAAAATTAAAAATATTGCATCTCAAAGTATAAGTTATTACATTAAGTAAATGTCATGGACGATACATTAGATTGTTATAAGATTTTCTATAGTAAAATTTATATTCTCTTTCTTTGGTTAGTATAATTTAGAAATGTGATTGCTCCACTGGGTTAACTTAGATAACTCTTGGTGTCATTTTGATATTTTTTCACAAGATTTTGAATAAGATGAATACGAGAAGAGCTAATGTGTACAGAAGACATAATCAACAACCATAGAGAGAAACTTTTATTTGTTAATTAAATTATTTTCTTTGGTAGCTCTTTCAATTTACTTGGATTAAAAATATTAGCAATGAAAATTGAATAATAGAGAATTTAATTTTAATGTCCGACCATCCGTTCTTTTTTTGGTTAAGTCTAAGCCCCATGCTGACTTGTGACTCAAAGACACTACTATGTAAATGATTGTGAAATTTATTGGCCCTTAGTTCCATGAAAAATTTAAAAAGTAACTATAATCTATAATTTAATTTTTTTACTTTTATTATTTGATATTCATCTGTTAGGATGCTACAGTTTTATCTGTAAGAAAACCAACAGAAATAGGAAGAAAGATGCGAAAATAAAGAGGAAGAAAAGGGCTACCGTGACCTCAATTCATTTATTTTGATCTGATGCTTACAAGAGCATCACATATACATTAATAGTGAAAATGTATAATTAAAAGGAAAAAAAAGTTTAGAATCTGTGTGAGGCAGAGATAAAATGAGGTGGTTAGGATTGTATGGTGAAGATGATTCAGAATAAAGTGGTGTGGTATGTTGTGTTGTAGGTATATTGTTATCATCCCCGTGAAGCTAATGGTGGAATTTCAAAGCTTTAGCTTGTCTCTGAGCTTGTAGAGGCGAGGCGTAGGCGGTGCCTTGGTGAAGATGTCGGCAAATTGGTCATCGGTAGGGATGTAATTGAGTGAGAGCTCTTTGGAAATGACGTGTCTCAGATGAAGTGATAGTCGGTCTCAAAATACTTTGTTTGGGCATGGAAGACGAGATTATGGGTGATTGCCATTGCTGAAGTATTGTCACAATGAATGGTTATTAGAAGAGATATGGATATGTGAAAGTCTTGCAACAACCCACATAACCAGATGACATCGGTGGCAGCGGATGATAGGGCTATGTACTCGGCTTTTGTTGAAGATTGAGCCACCATAAGTTGTTTCTTGACTTACCTGGAAATCAGATTTGGGCCCAAGAAGGAGCAGTATTCGATTATTGATCGGCGATCAAGGAAGTCACTTGCCTAGCTTTAGTCGAAGTATGTATGCACAATGAGAGGTCCAACTTGGAGTTGAAGACCGAGAGTGAGTACCTTTAATGCAAGGTATTTTATTTGTTAATAGCTCCGCGATAGGGGATCATGAAGATGCTGAGACTAAGTATTGACTGCAAATTGAATGTCTGGACTTGTGATAGTGAGGTACTGAAGCGATCCCACCAGATGACAAAATTGAGCGAAATGTAGAATGGGTTGTTGAAGATTGTTGTTTGTCTTGGAGGAGACCGAAGATGAGTTGGGTTGTGATTTACAATCAAACATATCTGCTCGTAGTCAGTTTGAGATAGTTGAAAACCGGTGGTGGTGTGCTTAATCTGAATCCCAAGAAAGGTGGAAACCGGTCCAAGCAGCTTCATGGAGAATGTGCATTGAAGATTTTGGATGAGATGATTAATAGCACTTAGTTTGCTTCTTGTTAAGAGAATGTCATCTATATATAGAAGGAGATAAAGTTGACTCGAGTTGTAATTGTAGGTTAGGAGAGAAGAATCAGCATGACATGGTTTGAACTCAAAATGGACTAGATGCTTGGAGAATGTTTCAAACCATTGGTGCAGTGCCTGTTGGAGATTGTAGAGAGATTTGAGGAGATGGCACACTTTATGGGGATGATCTCGGTCAATATATCCTAGAGGTTAGCACATGAAGATAGTGTCGTTGAGCTTACCATGAAGAAAGGCATTGGAGGCGTCCACCTGAAGTAGTTGCCATTTATGATGAAAAGCTACTGTTATGAAGGTGCGAATGGCTGGAAACTTTGTTGCTGGACTAAGAGTTTCAGTATAGTTTAAAACATATTCATGTTGGAATCCTTGATCTATGAGTCACGCCTTGTATCATGTCATGGTGCCATCAGCTTTTCTTTTAATGTGAAATGTCCATTTGCATCCAAGAATCGATTGGTTGGTGGGAGGAGGAACTAGTTTCCAAGTTTGTTGAGGGTAAAAGTGCTGAAATTTCTTCATCCATAGCTTGCTTCCAGTGTGGGGAGGTTGCCCCTTGCTTATAGTTGGAAGGTTCTGTAGGTTCGATGGTATGATGTAGGAGTTCGAAAATGCGTGTAGCAGGAAGGGAGTCTGTTTTAGGTCTTGTGACCATGAGATGTTGTGGGATAATTGGAGTGAGCTGTTTGGATTGTATTTGAAGGGGAGAAGAGGGCTGAGTAGCAGGTAATGCAGGTTGGGAAGCTGAAATTGGTCAAGGAAGAGTAATTTTAAGTGGCTTCTGTCGTGGGTTGGAGTTTTAGTGGGATAATGTAGGTTGAGGTGCTGAAGTTGGCTGAGGTAGAGGGGACTTAGTAGCTGCATTGATGTAGTAAAGCTGGTGGTTGGCAAAAGGGTGAGTAGATGTGTGGTTGGGGGTTTGGGTGGTTGTTGTGGGGTAGTAGATTGGTAGTATGGGAAGGATTGTCCGTTAATTATAACATGCCGAGATATAGTGATTTTATCTGTGGTAGGTTGGAAGCACTTTGAGCCCTTGGTAGGTTCAGTATAACCAAGAAAAACATAGGATACCGACCGCGGTTGAAGCTTGTGTCGTTGAGCGGGGTGCAGCCAAGGAAAGCACTCCCATCCGAAAATTTTTAGATGGCTGTAATCCGGTGGATTACCATGTAGTAGTTGATATGGTGATAGATTGGATGTGTTTGGTGATGACAACCTTTTCATAAGATAAATGATAGTGACCACTATTTCAAGCCATAAGGAGGGTGGGCGATTCGATTCAGCTAGAAGGGCTCGAGTGGTCTCAAGTTTATGACGATGTTTGTGTTCGGCGATCCCATTCTATTATGGAGTGTATGGACATGTTATTTGATGAATGATGCCTTTATTAAGTAGGAAATTGCTGAATTGCGAGTTTTTATACTCTCCGTGCTTGTCAGTTTTTAGAGTTTTAATTTTCTTCTGGAAATAAAGTTTTACTAGCTGCTTGAATTAGAAAAAGTTAGAGAGAACTTCAGATTTGTGTTACATAGGATAAAGCCATTAAAAGCGAATAGAATCATCAACAAAAAGAACACGATAGTTAAATCCTTGAATAGATGTTGGGGATGGACCCCAATATCTGAATGTATAAGTTCTAGTGGATTACATTAAGTATAGCTAGAAGAAAAAGGTAAGTGATGACATTTAGCGGAGGTACATGCCTTGCAAAAAGGAAAAATGCTAGAAATCAAGAGATGTGATTTGTTGTTTTGCTATGGTTTGAAGGATTTGGTGACTAGCATTGATGCCATGAATTTTTATGGGTTGTGGTGGAGACGAAAGCTTGTTGAGCTGCTGGAATTGGGTACAACCCATTGCGGCAAGGGTCTTGAAGAAGTTTCTGCTGCGCCATAACAGAATCGGTCTTTAATTTGATAACCAGTTGCTTCAAAGATTATGAGACAATCATTGTCAACAACAACTTGGGAGATAGAAATTAGGTTGTGATATAATTGAGGTGAATGGAATTGTTTAGAGAGTATAAGCTTACGAGATGATGTTGGTAAGAGACCATGGCCAGAATGATGAATGGGAAGTGTCTCTCCGTTACTGACATGAATTTGATCTTGGCCATGAGATGTTTTGGCTGCTTGAAGTTGATCAAGAGGTGCAGTCATGTGACATGTGGCGCCGATGTGTTGATACCAATCGGGGGTGTTGGAAGATGTGAGAGGAGTAGTTGTTGGTGGAGGCTTAGTTGGTTGATATTTGATATTGAGTCTATGCCTGCACTTTGGAGCTCTCTGTCCAGGTTTGTTGCAGGTTTGACAATATTGTGTTGGTTCCTTTGTTTTGCTTGGGGTTTGTGCATTTGATTACGGTGCAACACCTTTGTATCCCGGATTGGCAGTGTTGCTCCGGCCTTTGGAGGAATTATATTTACTCCTGAAATTATGTATGTAGAGAGCTAGATGAGAATCGGTTGTGGGAATGGCTGAGTTGTCATTAGCTATGTTGATATCTTCACTAAGGAGAAGAGAGTAGAGATCCCTAGGGCAATTGGTTTAATTGTGTTCAAATGGATGTTTTAAAGGCTTGATAGGATGTAGGGAGACTTTGAGAGTGTATAAAATGATGTCCTCGGTGTCAATTGGGGCACCGACTGCTGAAATGTTGTTGACCAGTGTCTGGATATGGGTGAAGTATTGTGCCATTGTGGGGTTTCTCATGGAGACATTATGAAACTCATTTTTCAGCTAGATTACCTTAGATCGATAGCTTGCAGCCATTTTTCAAGAATATGCCAAATTTTGGAGCAGCTATCAAGGATGAGCACATATGGGAGAATAGTGGTAGAAATAGTGGAGGAGATGGCAGCCGCGAGGTGTTAATTCCCTAGCATCCAAAGGGTCACTTCGGGTTGGGTGGGGATATATCGGATGTGTTGGTGATGGTAGGGGGTGGTTGCTAGGTAGATCCATCGAGGAAGCTGAGAAAGCCATTTGTCTTTACGATTTTGAGAAATTGGGATCTCCAAATCGGGTACTTGTCAGCGGAGAGGGAGATGGTCACTACGGCTTTGATTATGGTCCCTAGGAATTTCAGCGATTGGGGGATTGCCGCACCTGTGAGCCAGATGGAAGTCTTCTTGGAGCTGGGAGGTGGCAGAATCGTCAATTGCAATGTTGCTGAAGCTCTGATACCATGTAAGAAAACCAGGAGCAGCAGAAAGAAAGGCGTGCGCAAACAGAGGTGAAGAAAAGGGCTACCGTGACCTCAATTCATTTGCTTTCATATGATGCTGACAGCAGCATCTCATATACACTAACAGTGAAAATATAGAAGTAAAAGTAAAGTCTAGAATGATGCTGACAGCAGCATCTCATATACACTAAGAGTGAAAATGTAGAAGTAAAAGTAAAGTCTAGAATTTATGTGTGTGACTGAGATGAAATGAGATGGTTGAGATTGTTTGGTGAGGGTGATTCAGAATTGTATGTTGTGCTGCAGGTATGTTGTTATCATTATTGACTGTGCTCATTTGCTTAAGCATAACAACAGTGGTTGCGTGTGTGTGATTTTTTGTCTTGGATTGAATAGAGGATCAATTTATTTATCCTGTTAAAGATATAATCTTTGTTTCTCAGGTTTTGTTACAGAAATTATTATCTTTTGCAGGAATTTTCTGGAAGGATCATTAGAGTTGAACTAGCAAAGAGCTTTAAAAAACTCTACTCTACTCTAGCCCCTACTATTACTCCCAAGAGTGAGGCAAGAAACTGGATCTATGTATCAAATCTTGCTTGGAATGTAAGGTCAGGTAATCTTAGGGAGTTCTTCGCAGCCAAATTCAAGCCTGTGTCTGCTAGAGTGGTTTTCAATGGCCCGTCAGGGGGGTCTGCTGGATATGGGTTCGTTTCTTTTGCCACTAATGAAGAAGCAGTGACAGCTATTTCTGAATTGGATGAGAAGGTAACCTCAAGATTCTGTTGTTATCACATCCCTAAGTTATGTATAAATATCTCATTTTAGTTCGGATTATTTACATACATACACTGCAATTCTTGTGTTTATACATATCTAACATCTAAACTTCACTGCTGCATATATGCCAACTTTCATGTGCCTGAAAAAGTGTATTTCACTTTTTAAGTGTTAAAATAGTGGTACTTTTTTGTGGTATAAAAGATTTTGGTGGTATAAATGTAAAAAGTATAGTTTGTCTTAGATATGTAAATACATAATATTGGGAGGGAGGCATGTAAATGCCCATTTTAGCTATGCTACATTGAAATTGTTGGCAGGCCTGGAACATTGTTTAGGTTGCCTACACTCTAATCTAGAGGGCGCTAATTCGAATACTAAAACAATCATGCACAGCTTAGCTTAATAATGGCTAACAGAGCTTAAATATCAGTTCTTTTACCGATTTCAACTAATCAACCCAATATGACTGCTTCAGGAACTCATGCGAAGGCCTCTTAGGCTGAAAATTAGTCAAAAGGATAGAGCTGATGAACCTAACACCAGTCCAGAAGGCTAAATCAGACGTCAATCTTTAAGTTTTAGATAGCCAAATGGCAACATCGCCCCTTGCTAGACGAAAGTGGAGTTTTGGTTTGAGCTTGCAGCGAACAATTCTAATGCTTACAGAAAGCTGAAATGGAGAAGAAATTTTTACTTGTTATCAGTTGAATTTTCTGCAGCATATTTCTACTGGTATCACTATCAAAAGCCTGCCTTTTCATGAACTTCGTTTTTTTTTTTCATTATAAAGATAACTAGTTTTCTTATGTTTCAAAAGCTAAGCAGAAATTGTGGCTGTAAATGTATTCATTTCCTTCTTTACGACCTAATAGCCATTAATGAGAATATACCCTGCCCAACTATATCAAAAAAACAGAATGCTACATATTCTCTTAGAAAAATTTTCATCAAAGCAGCACTTACAGATAGCACCTACATTACTAGTGAGAGAAGATAACTGTGGCCAATGTGAGAGTAAACTTAAATCCATTTCTCATCATCACCTGCCATACATCATTGATATCTATATATGATATTTGTTAAGAAAGAAATTAGAACAACCTAGGTTGTTAGTATGACATGGATATGATTGCTATTAGTAGGATAATTGGATGGCTAGGATTTGACCCGTTCAACTAGCAGGAAAAAGGTTGAGTGACCATGTATTGTAGCTCACCTTCCTGATGAGAACATTTATCATGGCCCTCGATTGAGAAGTCGTTGAAATTCTCATTTTTTTTCGAAGTGTATGAAAGAGGGTAATAGCTGTGAGATTTTGTTAATATAGCTGCTAATTGATTGTGTTTTGATACGATGAACAATAATATAATTGGAATCTCTGACAAAGTTGATATTCAGGCATCGCTCAAATTTCTATTATCTAACAGTTATAGACTATTCTAACGACCTTTATGGAAACGTTGCTTGTAATGTAAATAATAGCATATAAAAATCTTTCCCGTTTACCATTAAAGTGACATTAACAAGCTTTAGGTTGGAGATGACAATGAACAGTAGTGATGTGTGTTAAGACAGGTTGAATATTTCTTTCGGAAGAACTTGGTACTAAAGAAAGATTAGATTAATGCAACCAACAAAGAAGTCACTTATTAGAATTGTTGTTATGCCCAAAACCCCAAAGAAAATCATATTTTCTGGGGTTAGACTGTAGGGGAAGATTTAGCTACAGCTGTTCTTACTCTCAATTAGCTTAAAGAGAATGTTTTGTATCTAATTCT